AGTTATTTATATTGGTATTATGGCTGGAATCAAGAGATAATTGCTTTGAAACTATCAACTGCTTGGAGCTTTGGATTTGCTGCTGTCTACTTTTAATTATTAAATCATCTCTGAATCCTAGAGTAGTTTCATTCTATGTTTTTTTCTCCTCCTTTTTCCAGCTTGTTTTAGGAAATGGCAAGCCTTTGGTCTAAGTTTTAGAGAAGGAATCAGTAGGTATAGACTTAACAAGTTTTGATGTTATGCTTTAAGACTGTATATCACAAAAAGCACAAAAAACATCTGACCTGAAGAAACAGTGGATGGACAAGGATTGGTGGTATGAAGGAGACCTTCAAAAGAAAGAACAGCTACTCGTTTCAAGGCCTGTAGCCTCTGTGAACTGGATAGCAGACTTTTGTAGACTTACCAGTAGAACTGCCAAGTAAGCCTGGCTCTATATCTGTCATCATCATCTCGGAAATATTTTCCAGTGAAACCTTTCTTCCTTCATCTCTACTAGTTGCAAAGATTCCAGGAACTGGAGGATCTTAATTCATTGGTTGTATTTGGTTGTTTGAGTGTGTAGTCCAATTACTATTGGGGAGTTATTATAAAGGGAGAATTAAACTTGACATCACAATTACAGAATTTTAAGTGATGTAACTGTTCATTAAAGTGTTGCTAATTTTACTTGTCAACTGTGTGTTAATCAGAGGAAAAAGAAGGATCTTTTTTTCTCTCTTTCTTATTATAGAAATTACTGAGACTATTTCTTGTAGTATATACTAGTTAAGTTCTCATTCTAAAAAGCCACAAGACAGTAGTCTTCCATCACTTGCTAAGTTTATTACAGTCTCAATCTTTTACCTTTACTATCAATTATTTTCTATCTTTCTGCTAAAATTTTCTACCCCTCGTTGTCTTCACAACTGTTTCACAAGAAAGCTCCACAAGTCTGGAGGCGTTTGAGAAAAATGTGCAAGTAGCAAATGTGAAAGGAGTCGTATGACACCAAGGGGTGAGTGGAAGGAAGAACAGGTTGAAGCAACCTGTGAAAAAGTAGACTTTGTGCCATATTGTAATATAATGGAGATGACTGTGTATGTACTTGGATGGGCATGGATGGTCACATCTACTTGGCCTGTGCTGACATGGCTACCTCCAAGCCGGTTTTAATCTTGAAAGTGTGTAATTAGAAGATGGACAAACTAAGCATCTGTATGGATACTGATACCCCAGTATCCCAGTATCATAGCTTCAGCATTGCTAAGAAAGATGTATCTAGCCCTAGCAAAATGTTTTTTTCTCCTTATATATCTTCTTGATATTTAGCAAGTGACCAAGAGATTTCACCATGATTATTTGTTTCTAATGCAAATTTAATATATTCTGGTTATGATTAGATGAGGGACAGGAGATAGTCCAGAATCACAAAGGTGTTAAAAGAGAATTGTTATACAGTTTTAGGAAACAGGCTGCACAGACAACTCTCCAAAATTGTCTTTATGGACAATTGTTTTTTCTCACTTTGATTCATCTCCAGACTCAGACACATGGTACTTGTTAGAATTATGGTAAAGGATTAGAAGACAAAGAGGTTCTCATAACAGAGCAGATCAAGATCTACCTGGAGGGAAGTTATGCTTGAGAGGGGAAGTGGAAGAATGCCTTTTTTTTTTTTTTTTTTTTTTTTTTGTAGTGAGGTTTTTTTAGAAAACAAAAACAGTGCTTCAGATCTGGAGATGCAATTTCTGTATCATAAGATCAGATCAATGAAGTTTCATTTTTAAGCTTATGTAGATTCTTCTTCGAGATAAAAAACATTGCATATTGGCAATCTTTATTAAGAGATACATAATAATAGTACCTCACATCTTAAAAACAATTTTTTTCCCCCCAGCACATAAGAACTGTATCTAATTAGTGTTAACTAAATACTTAACAAAATGGATATGGCAATTGCTATCCTGCTTTGTATTTCCTTAGAGGCAAGGGAAGTACAAGTCAATATGTCAGGTATGTTGTAGCTGTTGTTTATATGGAATGAATCTTGAGATCATGATTGATGGGGTTGTTGTAAATGTTTTGACCTACTGGTGTGTCTAAAGTCATGAATTCGGAAAGGAAAATCCAGTGTTTCTCATACTCTAATGAAAAACTAATATTCTGTCTTGAGATGGTATTCACTCAGGCTTATGTGAAAATGATTAAATCAACCTACGTGCACACTATTTTGGTAGGGTTGGTTGTTTTCTTTTTCTTTATGACCTGAAAGTCAAGGTGTAAATAGTTGAACAGCAAGAGATATACTCAAATTAATGTGGATATTTTGGTGGGTTTGATTATGTTCCTCAGTGGTCTTTTTTCTTCAGGTGCATCAGGAAAAATTCTAAGGAACTTCTAAGGAAGTTGCATGTTCTTGCAAATGGAGAAATTGTGATCTGTTTGCCATTGGCATATTTCTGTGAGAATTTCATGCACTGGTTGACTTACTGCAGAGGGATCCCTGCTTGCTTTAGTTTTCCCTTCAGGATCTGAAAAATGAAACTGGTGCAGCATGCAGACCTTCTTTTGTGTGAACACGGTAGTTACAGCAACTGGACATTTTTCTGCAGAGTGAACAAACTCATATGATTGTACCAAGGTAGAGGATATTCTTTGGATCTGTTGTAACAATTAGATAAGTTTGCATTTTCAATCATATCTTTTTGAGTAGTTTTGATATTTATTTGGCACTCATTAAAGGAATGAATACAATATTTATTTGAATTTCTGAAAGGAGATCATGAAGAAAAGTCAAATTAGAAGTAGACTTTCACTTTAACTAGGGTTGAACGTTAAAACTGAGATTTTCTCAGTGCTGGGTAATTATGGCATTTGAATTTTTTAAAGAGAAAACTGGATTAGGAGGCTGGGGCAGTAAGGAGAGAAGCATTTAGGCATTTTGCATTTGAGTGGCTTCTACAAATACAGGCAAGAAGGCATGGTGAAGGGTTCATTTGATTTTCATTATGAGATGGAGTAGGACTTTGATGTGGACCTCTGTTTTGGTGAAGAAGTTACTTTCTGCCTATTAAATGACCTTATCATCACTGAAAAAGAACAATCCCTGAAACAAATTAGCTGATTTTTTTTGTTTGTTTTTATGTTTTTATTGCAATCTGGTCTGCATCAAATAATTTGCCAGTTAGTTTAAGGGCTAATCTGAAGGCTGCGTAAGACTTTTATTCAGTTCCATTAGGTCCAACTAAACTTTGTAATACAGAGGCTATTATCCTGCCAGTTGTAAGGAATTTCTGTTTTATGAAGCAATATTGACACAAAGAGAGCACTGTGTAAGCTGTGTCTGTAAGTGAACACTTTCACACTGCAATTTAGGAGGCGTGCAGTTCAGGAAATTGCTGGCTTCTGCTGGAGCACACTTTTACTGCAAGGAAAATTTTATTCGTCACTCAAGTAATTGGCAGTTTTAATACCTTGCTAGTAATTACCTTATAAACAAACTAACGCATAAAGGCAACTCTGTGACCTGTTATCTAACTCACAGTCTTGTTTGGACAGTGGAACTGACACATGGTGGTATTTGTTGTTGTTTTTTTTTATTAAAGAAATTTGTTTCCATTTATTATAAAAACTTACTGTTAAGAGGTTGTTTTTTTCCTAGATAATGTAGTATAGCTCTACCAGACAGCCTGAGTAATGAAACATGATACAAGAGCAGCGTTGGAGGAGTTGCAAGATCATTTATCCATTCCCACATGTGGTCAGAAGGCCTATTAATCTAACTTATGGTTCAATTTTTGAGTCAGGATTTTTTTGTCTTTAGTAATCCTTCCCTTGCTTACGTGAGGGTTGTCCATGCCATTCTAAGTGTATGGCTTACTATTTGGTCCAGAGCAACTATTTCTAATAAAGGCAAACACCTTCCAGAATCAACATTTTTGTTGATAGTTTAACCTGAAATTGCCTTTGCCTTCAGTCTCTGGAAGTTGAGGAGAGCAGCTAAATTTTGATCATTCGTCTTACTAGGAACAGAATGTACCACAGCTAGAACTGACTTGAGCTTTAGAGTGTAACAAGGATCATTTTGGGTTGCATTCACTTAATTAATCATGTATGTTTTCCCCCTACATACCATTAGCCCCAACGAATAACTCTATTCACTTTGCTGATGTCCATGTATGATACAACTGGGATGAATAATATGGTAGTTGCTGTGCATGAACATGAAATATATTGCTAGAAAAAGTACATTTAATTGGAAGTGAAAATAGAGATGTTTCTTAGAGTAGACTAGGATAGCCATGTCTTTAAATAGTTGTAAATTCTTTACTGTGGAATTGAATGTGATGCTTAGCTGAAATCTACCCAAAGAACATGTCCAGACAGTCTGTGAAGAGTTGTGAGAAGCACAAATTTTATTCTTTGCTAACACAGAAAAATTTGCTGGATAAAATACTAGATCTAATTGTAGTATTAGAGAATGTTTTTCTGGAAGGAGTGCACTGTCATCAATCTTACATAGCTCTATTTTTGTGGAAATTCAGTTTGAATTTCATGCTGTAGGAGTTCTCAGAAAAACGAAGCAGAATGTCTGAGTACTGTTATGTTAGTTTGACTAAAATGAAAAACAACTATGACCTGATTTCCTTGCAATATTGTGACATAGTATATTCAATGCAAATAACGTATGTCTACATTTTTTCAGAGATTAATGAACATAGTGTTTCATTTTAACATTTTAAAAACAATGAAATACTTTTGGATTATAATACTTCTTCATCCTCCCCCCCTGCCCTGTTTGCTGGGAAAATGTTTCAAGGAATCAAGAAATGTTGATGACTTGTTTGCTCAGAGCATTCTAGTTTGTAATTCAAGAAAACTAGAAATTAATGCTCAGCCTATTAGAACAAGCAGGGAAATTAAGTACTAATTTTAAGAGTAGTGCTTAGTTAACAAGTTAACAAGCTCTGGAAATGACTTTTTTTTTTTTTTTAATTACTATCCTTAAATTTCAGGACCAGTAATAAGATTGCCAACATCTTACCTGAACATCTGAAGCCATTTCAGAGTTTAGAAACTTTGGATTTGAGCAACAACAACATATCAGAGCTAAAAATGTCATCATTTCCTTCCTTACAGCTCAAGTATCTGTAAGTAAAACCTACTTTACATTTTCTTTTCCTTTTTTCCTTTTTTTTTTTTTTTTTTCCCCCATGTTATTTAGAAAAAAACTTGATGGCAAGCTTAGGCTGGCAACTGTATGTTGAAGAATGAGATATTTTTTAATCTGACACTTACTAAATGTTCCTACTTTTACCCATTGATCTTAACCTAAGTTGTAGACTTGAATTTACCAGTTGCTGCAATTAACTGTTTTAATTCATAGTAAACAACGTTGAGATGAAACAAATGGATATGTCTCTCTTGAGAGAAAAATTACATAGTAAAATGAATTTAAGCTGTGGGTGCTGGTCTAGTCTCGAGTTGCATGAAGTTCTGTGGACTTCATTGAATTTACCTTAATGTTTTTTATAGCAGTACTGCAAAGAGAGAGCTACACTGTGAAGAAAGTAATGGAGTTGCAACATACTATATTTTGGCAACATGCTATCTTCTGCTAATAATGCGCTCTTGCAGAACAGAGAAAAATATTGGTGGCAAAATACTATTTGACTGTAGACTGAGTTGTCAAGAGCTTTGATTAATGCGATTAATGAAATTTCATTTATCACAGTATAAGCAGTCTAAGAACTCTATGTTTCACTACTTGGTATTAAAATTTTATTAAATAACTGTAAATTTAACCTTCTAGACATTGTTTCAACAGGTACATTAACAGTAACCGAATAACCTCCATGGAGCCTGGTACTTTTGACAATTTGTCTACCACACTTCAAGTATTAAAACTGAACAGGAACAGAATTTCAGCAATCCCTCAAAAGATGTTTAAACTTTCCCATCTGCAACACCTGTAAGTGCAGCCTACAATTGACTAATTGTTTTCAGGCTCTCCAAGCACTGGTAGTGCTTGAACTCTAGCCTTTAATTAAAGCAGTCGCAGAGACAGGCACAGAAAACATTACTACAACCCTTACTAACTGCAGCTTTATACTGAACAAAACCAGTCTTATATGTTGGTGAGATATGAATAGTCTTTGTGTTTAAAATTGTGTCTGCTTATTAAAGGAAAAGAAAAAAAAGGTTAATAGCAAATAGCAGTATTTATGTAAAAAAAAAACATTGGAAAAATTAATAAATGAAATAGAGTTATGTCACTCACTACATCAGTCTCTTTGTATGTTTGTAAAAGCATAGAATCATTTAGAATAACTGAATCACTTAGGTTGGAAAAGACCTTTAAAATAATCAGATCCAACCATTGCATTATAAAGGGAATTAATTTGCTTTTGAAAGATTACGATAAACAATATGCTTGAGTAAGTAGAATTTTATGATTTTCACTCATGTGATACAGTCTATAGCTATTTTAATAAGTAATAAATGTAGCTACTGTATATGAATGAATATGGGAAATATATTCTCCCCTCTTTTGGAAAACTTGAAGAGTACGATAAGTTGACAAGAAGATGGGCTAGGACTGCACTTTGTTAAATTCCAAGTAATTATTTTCCATTCTCAACAGGCAAGATGAACTGTTAGATTAATTTTGAAAGTAAAAAGCCCTAAGAACAGTGAAATGTTAGAATGCTTGATACAAACGGGAAGTGTGAATGTGTCTTTCCTGTGCACAGAGGAAATGTTTGAATTAAGACCCAACAGAAGAGTGTGAGCACAATAACACTTTGGCAGAGCAAATTCTCAGCTACAAAATGCTATTTTTCAACATAGTCACCATCGTTAGCTATGCATATATGTTCCAGCTATGAACAGCCTGTGTACTGTGCTCATAAAAATCTGCATGAGTGGAGGTGACCCACTGGCACCGTCATCACTGCAGAAATGCACCACCCGTCTCACTGTGCTCATATCCACTGTTTGATCTCCATAAACATTCAGCAAGCGTTCATGAATAGCAATGGATGCAGTTTTTTCTTCATGAAGGAATTCAGTAAAACACCTTTGCTTCATAGGCACTTTCACATCAGATGCCATTTTGTCAGCCTGCCCCTCTGCTGCCATCTGTTGTGCAGCAACAAAATTGAACTGAATTGTAGTGGGAAGGTTCAGTCTCTACTGCCATGCCATTAATGTCCACCTCTAATGTTGTGTGCCAATATAATAAAATAGGAGGCATTACATTTGGAGCAATCTTCACATATTATCACTTGAATAATGCGATAAGAAGAAATGAAGGCTGTTCTCACTGAATGTTCTTTACAACTTAGGAACTTTTAAACATATGGGAGGATGAGAGGAGTTTTGTATTATGTATTTGTTATTGGATGGAGTTTGTATCAGAGTACCTGAGAGGGCAGCTGAAGTCTTAGCTGAGAGCCTGAATAATAGTTGTATAATACAGTAGTATACATATGATATAGTATACATACTCATATACTGTATAGTAATGAGTATGGAGAAGTAATTTTTTGTTTATTTTTAGTCTTTGTTTATCTGAACAAAGTGACTTTTGGAAGGAGAGGATTCTTCTTGGTTAAATGGGATACAGGCTGATAAAGATCTTTTTAGAGGGGCAAATTTTCACTCGTTGCCACATTTTTCTTAGGGGCCTTTTCGTAGTATTGTCCAGTATTGTCACTTTATATATCAGTTGTTTCTAATAAATAAATAAATGAAAATACAACTATTGATTTAGCAAACAGTAGCTAGTTTAAAATCCACTGTTATAAAAACAGTTAATTTTCATGCAAGTACATTGTTTTCTGTACTTGCATGAGTGTAGACTTACTTTTTCACGTAACTCAGAAAGCTGCCTGGAGTTGGTAGGATTGGATTTCTAGTTGAAAAGGACCAAAGCCAAGGAGATGTTGTAAAGAGCAGGAAAATAGAAAACATGGTGTACTGCTCTCACTGCAGCTTACCCTCCAGCACTACTTATACCTTATAATTCCTATTATATATGAGTCCCAAACTCAGGCCTACGAAAGGATTGCCTGATTCCAGTTTAAGAGAGGGAGAAATTATCCAGGATATTGGTTCTGGCTAAGTATTGCAACTAGAAATTTTAACTTTGCAATCAATAATCAATTGGAATGCAAATTAAAAGCAAAAATTAACAACTCTACTTCTGAATGGAAGCAGAAACGTGCTTTTGCTTTTGATAGGGGGATCGAACATGACATTTTAGGTCTAGAAAGATTCACAGAATCACAGAATGGCCAGGGTTGGAAGGGACCTCAAGGATCATGAATCTCCAGCCCCAGTGCCACATGAAGGGCCACCAAACTCCCCATTTAATAGTAGATCAGGCTGCCCAGGGCCTCATCCAATCTGGCCTTGAACACCTCTAGGGATGGGGCATCCACAGCCTCTCTGGGCAGCCTGTTCCAGCACTTCACCATTCCCCTAGTAAATAACTTCCTCCTGACATCCAACCTAAATCTTCCCCCCTTTTAATCTTCCCTTAGATTCTTTAAACATCAAGTAACTATCAAGTACGTGTCCTCAATATCAAAAAGACAAAACAGTAATAGCATGGTTAAACATAATGCATTGCAGTAAAAGGTTTGCATTTTATTACATCTTGCTTCTGTTGTTCAATTTGCAGGGCAGGTATTTCAGTGAAATTTGTTTCCAGGGAGGTAGGAAGAGTTGTTGGTATGCAAGTAAACTTCTGCTGAAACTGTAAAATTTATTGATGCAGGGAGTTGAATCGCAACAAAATTAAAAAAATAGATGGGCTTACTTTCCAAGGACTTCCAGCTTTGAAGTCATTGAAACTACAGAGAAACGGGATTACTAGGCTCATGGATGGTGCATTCTGGGGATTAACCAACATGGAAGTTTTGTGAGTACCAACTTTCATAGATTCTGCTATTACACTAAGTAGGATTGTACATAATAGAATTGCTTGCTAAAATAAAGAAGTGTTTTTGAACTAAGGTATTCTGGTGTGATTTGAAAAGCAGCTGGTGTTAATCACTAAGCATGTAAAGCAGTGCATTCTGAATGCATGCGTAAAACTTTAAATGTAAATATAGGCTGCAGCTATCTGGCCAGTGTCATGAAGTCGAATGTGGACCTGTGGCAAAGCACACGCATCACTGAGTTTCTGAATCTTAGGTTTTTTGTCTGTTTGTGTATGTATAGGCAGCTGGACCATAACAACTTAACAGAGGTAACCAAAGGCTGGCTTTATGGTTTGCTGATGCTGCAACAGCTCCATCTCAGCCAAAATGCCATCAGCAGGATCAGTCCTGACGCCTGGGAATTTTGCCAAAAACTCAGTGAGCTGTGAGTAGCTTTTATTCTATTCCAGATTTGAAATTAGGGTACATGCCAAAGCATGAGCTTCTTACCACTGATGTGTGAATTTTTCATAACAAAGTTTCCAAGGTGACAGCAACTTTTCTACATGTAAGACAGTTAAATTTTGTTGGAAGAAGTTGAAGCCAACCATGACTGCTTCATTTCACTGCAGTTGTTCTAGAGCTGTAACCCAATCATTTTCAAATGAAAGAAATTTGTTCTGCGGTATTTTGTGAATAATTGGATAAAAGATAAGCTGTATGGTCAAAAACAGTATGGTAGGTTTTGTGACCATTGAAAAAAAAAAAAAAAAAAAAAAAGGAACCATTTCCCCCACTTGAAGATTCAACTGGGTTGAACCGAGTAACAACTAATGCAACAAAAACATTAAAATCCATTTTTCCTTAAACTTGCAGAGATTTGACGTTCAATCACTTAGCAAGGTTAGATGATTCAAGCTTTGTTGGCTTAAGCGTGCTAGTTGGACTGTACATTGGAAGCAACAAAGTAAACTACATTGCTGATTGTGCCTTCCGGGGACTTTCTAGTCTACAGACTTTGTAAGTTGACTAACTTAAGTTTTAAGGTTAAAACCATTAAGAAATCCTTTGTACATTGTTAGGTTGTTGTTGTTTTGCTTTGCTTTGCCTTTTGTAACTTTCCTAGCGTAGTGTTTTTTCTTTTTTCCAGTAAGTTTTTTTTTCCACTCTAGTTTGGAGAAGTAGGGCTCATTTCATAAAGGCTGTGCACAGCGGATGCTGGTAGTTTTAATACAAACTTTCTGGTAGCAATTCTCTATTCAGAGGTAGTGAGCAGCACTGCTATCTACAGCCTTAGGGACCTGATAGTTCTGTCTTAACTGAGTCCATACTTTCCATCATACCTTCCATACATAACACCCTATATGTAGTTGCTTGTCCTGATCGAGCAATTATTTTAAGCATTTGATCGTATTTTGAAATAGTATTTCTTAAAGGAAGGAGAAGAAAGAAGTAAATGAATCAAAAAATACTTTGCTTCATTAGAATCTTTCAGTTGCGAACCACTGATTCATCTGTTAGCCAGATGAATGAAGAAGTTACTTTTCCCTCTAGACTTTAAAGAGTGATAGCATTTAGAGGCATCCTCCAAAGATGTAATTTACAGAGATGCATTCTGTGTTTTTTAAATACATATATAGATCATAAAAAAAGTCAAGAGACTGTGTCAGGCTTCTAAATTTACACAGGAGGAATCATTAAACTTTTTCTCTCACACATCTTCTCCTTTAGCCTTATCTTACCGATTCTCTGTTGATAGGTTGTTCTTTTCACAAATCTCTCTAATCTCTTTGTGTGTCACAGATAACATAGCTAGCTCTGTGAACAGCATAGAATGTAGAAAGTTTACTTATTAATTAATCTCAGTGTATTAATGTTCACAGTGTACAAAGACCTAGATGTATTTTAGTTTGAAGGAGCCAACAGTTGATCTCTTCCCTTCTGATGCTCCTTCTGTCCTGTATCTGAAGATCCTCCAAGGGAATGAGGTTTTGTTCTATAATAATTATTAACTTTTGTTTTGTTATCTTTGGAATTATCTAGTGGAAAAAGTGTTAATTGATAGTTGTTAAAATCTTCCAGTAAAAATGAAAATGAAATAATTAAAAAGGAAGAGAAAAAAAGTGCTGCCAGACAGTGATTTCAGGAATTATTTTAAATAATAAGTGTTATTTAAGAAGTACATACCTCATTTTTCCTAATATCTCTCATGGTTTGTTTTCCCCACCTGCCCCCTTTCCTTGTAAATAGAGATCTGAAAAATAATGAAATATCGTGGACTATTGAAGATATGAATGGTGCCTTCTCAGGTCTGGATGAACTTAGGAAGCTGTGAGTACCACCATCTCTACACCATCTCCAATTCCTTTTAAAATAATTAAGTAGCTTATATTATGCCACTTTTGATGGACCAGTGTTGTATGATGGTGTGTTTTCCATAGTTAAGGTGATTTTTGCTCCCTTAACATTTTATTTGATATAAAATCTTAGTTTCTATGAAAGCAATTTCTGATTTTTTTCAGTGAGTGAAGCTAACCTGAAATACATGCACAGATTTCAAATGTGCTATTTATAGAAACTTTTTTTTTTTTTTGAGTGTATCCAATATTACACAGGTATAGTGCCAGGAATAGTCTTTGATAAAGTGGTGCAGCATCCAATGGAAATGGCTTCACTGGTATGGAAAAATAATTTGAAAATGTGCATAAAAATATGAAAATATTCATCTGTGAAATAATAAAAATATAAATATAAATAATCTGCATTCCTGAACTGTATACATTAAACATGTTTTAAAATCATTGTAAAATCAAGATATTTAGTCAAGTGCAGTAAATCAGTTTATTTTAAAGGTGAGGCATTTTTCTACATTGAGGAAGGTTGAATGGTAAATATTCAAATTCACAGTTCGGAAATAAATGCCAAAAATGCAATTGTTTGACTCCAGAAAAGCCTATGTCTTTTTTGCATTATGTACTTATTTTTCTTCCAGGATACTGCAAGGAAACAGAATTAGATCTATTACAAAGAAAGCATTTTCTGGCTTGGATGCACTTGAACACCTGTGAGTAGTAAATACTTTCATTTAAGCCATCGTTTGAAAAAAACAAATAGGACTGATGAGCTTTACTTACGACTTTGAGTGAAATACACTTACTCTGAAAAATAGAGTATTCTTGAAAGGGTTTTTAATGGAGTTCTGCTGAATATGAATTTCAGTACTAATACAGAAAACTTCACGTTTATTAAGCATGCTGTAAAACTCTTCAATATTGTCTCTTTGGTTTTTAAGCTAGAAAAACCTTTGTATGTAACTGACATAGCAAACTATTCCTGGACTCTTCATGTTGAATACATTAGTTCAATAAATTACTCTTTACTCTCATGTTTTCCTTCTTGTTTGTTTTGTAGGGATCTAAGCAATAATGCAATTATGTCAGTTCAAGGAAATGCTTTTTCACAAATGAAGAAACTCAAAGAATTGTAAGTTTGTCAAAAAATTCACCTCTATTGAATTCCTAACTATATGATTCTATATAATAAGAGCTTCATAGGTTGTTGCCTGACACGGTGATAAACTCATGTATTAATATCTCTGAAGGTGTCAGTGTTTATTTATTCTTTATGTGACATGTATGTTTAAGTGAGATGGCATAGGGTAAGGAGTGTTCATTTTCTGCTACATTTGGTATCTAGAGTCCTGATTTTAAATTGGCTGATCTCTAATAGGTGCTAGATAAGGGAGACTTGGATGTAATGTGCTGTAGCATCAGCAGTGCTATTGCTGAGCTAAAGCTTACTGGACCAGTGAAATGCAGTAAAGTAATTCTTTTATAAAGACCAAGTTGTCAGTGCTTGTAATTGGGTCCTTTAGTCCTGGTGCAGTATAGGGGCAGGTCTTCAGAGAAGTCATGAAGCGGTCATTGGAAAGACTGTATTCTTTTAGTGAACTTCTTGATTTTTTTTTTTTTTTTGTCTTCTCACTCTTACTTTTTGATCAAGGCATTGGATTTTACAGCTATATTTTTCTGGAGGGAAAAATGTAGCTATTACTCCTTTTTGAGCACCGTTAATACTTCCTCTTAAATACGTGTTCTTTTTTCCTGTATTCAAATCAGCCTTCCATAGTCAGATCTGTTGTTCAGAGTTGATCTATTGCATAGTGTGGCAACAAACTGAAGAGTAACAAGAAGATAAAGCTCTTGTTACATGGTATTGGGTGCAATAGAAAAAGTAGTGAGGAGCCTTGTATGTTTGGTTTATTTAATGTTCAATTTGATGTTAACCATATCCTGACATAGCTGCAGGTGCTGTAGAAAGCAGCTGCCATGTTTCTATCTGTAGCCAGGCATTCTCCTCTTCCTTAGCTTGAATTTGGTTGTATCGATTAGTTTATTGAATTCAGCCAGCCAGCTGCTGGACAATTGCTAGGTGTGGCACAAAAGAAGCAGTGGGAGCCCAGGACTGACATCTAGGGATTGATTCAGATGATTTGAAGAATGATCAAATGTGGTGAAATGACAGGCTAGCACTGCTTTAGGAGATGTGGGATGCTACAAGATAGCAGTCTCTGAACACTTCAGTGAAGTAACTAGTCAAAAGTTGTTGGTTTTGTTTTTTTCTGTATTTTTCCCAAATCTCGTAGTAGTCCTCCATTATGTATGAGAGAGAGGAGAGACAAGCAAATGATAGAAAGTACTTTCCCAGAAGTAAAATTGTTTAGTATAAATTCCCATCTAGTTGTTTCATTCTAACTGAACTGAACACTTCCTACTTCAGCTATTGATTGTATGTGCTTCGCAGAATATCACTCTGGTTTATTTTTTTATTATTTCATTCCTCTGTGAATGTAGCTATTTATTCACAGAAGTTAGGTACACTGATAACCATTTCTGCACTTGTATTTGCAGTACTGGCTATTCTTCATCTCTACATTCCCCTTTTAAAGTATGTGCCACAAGATAAATTCTGACAAAAATGAGAATGAGGAAAGAAATTGTCTCAGTGTTGTTTTGGTGTTAACATTCAGAATGCCTCTCCTCTGGACTGCTATTTTAAGTGCTCTGTGTGTGTTCCACTGCTGACTGTAGTTTTGTACCCAATACATTAGAAACGTGTCCAGCTGCCTGAAAGCTTATATGTTGCAGAAACTGGGAGTTCAGGGAGAACATGTGTGCTTTGTAAAATTTCACAATTTCTGACACAAATAGTGTCATCACATTTGAGCTAAATAGCATTAGTAACTTTTTCTTGTAATGGAAGTATTTAGATTAAAAATTAGCTTTATGTTGTTGGCTTGCCATATAGGAATCCAAGCAAACAGGCTTTGAATGCAATTGCTTTTTCTTAGGCATTTAAACACATCAAGTCTCCTGTGTGACTGCCAGTTAAAGTGGCTACCACAGTGGATGTCAGAGAACAACTTTCAGAACTTTGTAAATGCCAGTTGTGCCCATCCTCAGTTACTAAAAGGGAGAAGTATTTTTGCTGTCAGCCTGGATGCATTTGTCTGTGGTAAGTATAGTCTCTATTCCTCATTACATAGAAAAGAATTTGCTGAATGGATCGATTTTGGTTGTGGCTTCTTTGATATGTTTTGAATTTATTAGTAAAATGGAAAGGATTTAATATTTGTTAACATTTTCTTCTCTGTTCCCAAACTGATGTAGATGAACTAAATTTGTGGCTTTCTTCAAGATGGGTAGTGACATTTTCCTGACTTTTGTTTCATGTACAGCTTACATACATAGAACGTCACACAGAAAGCTTAGCAGTTTGTGGTGGTAAATGTATATACTTCTAAAGATGGATATTATTTCAGAAGCTGTACTTCTTAAGTGAGCCATATTTTGGCTAACTTAAGGTGCCATTTTTGTTTTTGATTATTTGCAAATTATATTCATATTTCATCAAATTTGAGTTTATTCCAAATCTGAAAAAAAGTAGAAGATAAATAGCTATACTCCGACTTCTTTGTGTGTACTTCAAAAAGTCTGCTTCAAAAATGGGAACTCTAGTTATTGCTTGTATTTGAACTGTGTTTTAAAACTTCTAATTTGCCACAATTATGTCATTGGTATTTTGTATTTCAGTATGCCAGACAGAGAATATAAAATATTCTTACCTTAAGGCTTGGGGATTTCAGATGATAGCCTCCGCCTTTAGATAAAATTTCTCTTCCTGCACAGAGTAGCATTCATTATGACTTATACATGAATGAGGGAGAATCATGTACATATACTAGGAATTCAGAGCAACAATGCAAGTGTGTTTTAGTGCTCCTAATGAATTAATTGGAAACTTTGAAAGTCTAAGGATATTGGAAGCTACCTGGATTTGATGTTTTTGATATGTATATATTATTTTTCTGTTACTAAAGAAAATTTGAACACTGTATTTATATTCTCAGTAACTTTCCTTTCATTGCAAGTATGATTGCTTAGCTTATACTGTTTCCACTCATATCCTTTTTTTCAATGACAAAGCAGGCACTGAACGTAAAATGTTATATAAACTTTTTTCTCTCTTCCTGTTAGCAGTCAAATGTTTTAATATATTAATGTTAAGTAATGAATAGAAGATGCATAATTTAGCTAGTGCTGAAAAGGAAAAGTTGACATAGTGCACTAAATTACTGAGTGCTTGATAGCTAATGAAGTATATATGAATGACATATCATTCATATATGAATGATACACATATATATATAATAAAATTATTTATGAGAAATTAATTCTAGCAACGTATTCAGTTGGAGGTTTTAAATATATATCTCTTTGCTAAACCACAGGGGACAGTGATCTTTCTTTAAACTGCTGAATGACATTTTTAATTAATGAATTTTAACACATTTACGGACTCTTCTTTATTTTCTGAAGGATAGCACATTAGACAAGAGTTTCATATTTGTGAAGTTAAAAATAGAAAATTCATTTAATTTATGCTTTCTAAAGCCATGCATTTCAAGCTGAGCTAAATTGCAAAGCATTTCTGTACCAAAGATATCTGTGGAATAAAAATAGATGTCTTTGTGACCTGAATTAATTACTAAAGCTGAGCTAAGAGTACTGCCTCAGTGATGAATAGCTAGATTTTCATTATAGAATAGTCAAGTGGCCTCTACAAAATGAGAAATACTTTCCTCAAAAGTGAAAGAGTGTGTGTGTGTGTGTCTGTTTGTGATGCATCTATGTGTGACACGCACTAAAATAAACACTCCTACATTATTCTGTCCTGAAGAAAACACATCACTGGTTTTGTCTTTCATGTTCTGTAGTATCTGCTTGTTGTTCGATTGACTTTCTCATGCCCTCCCTCAAATAACTACCATTTTAAAACATTTCATTATTTTATTGATGGTAACAACTGAAATAGAATGAAATATATCCTTCTGCTCTGTCACATGGCTAATTAAAGTACTTAAAAGTTAGTCATCTTTATGCAAAGTTTTGACAATATCAACTCATTTTGCAAGTAGTATGATCTGTCTTGGAGGATTCAATGCATAGATATGAAGGAGAAAAACAAAGTGGCCTGGTTAATTCTTAAGATCCAGGCCAAAGGTTCAGATCAGGGCGGGGGATCCATGTTTCTCTGTACCTGGAGCTTACCTTCAGACTTTCAGGTGATGACCTGCAGCTCAGGTTCAGACTGTCTGCATGTTCTTCTGTAACAAGCCATGTTGAGATCATTTAAGGGAAATTATGATTTGACTGTGGTATGTAGTTTCCAAAAGGATGAGACGAAAGAACAAATCGGCAAGGTAAAGTATAACTCTCTGCGGTGCAAGCAGGGTCCGTAATGAGGAGGAGTTTGGGGTTGGGGTATTTCTTTCATTGCATATGAAATTCGAGCTTGCATCTTTGTCGGTAGGTAGGAGACATCTGAGGCCTTTTGGTTTTGAGAGCCTAAGTATTTAACTACTTCTTTTGTACATGTACATGCAGTTGACAGAATAAGTCATTCAGAAGGCAGCTAATTCTACAAACTCACAAAATAGCATTCTCGAGCAATTCTCGAGCATTCTTGAGGTAATTTAACAATAGTAAGAAGACTTCCAGAGAATAACTACTTTAATTTCTTGTGCGCTGCCTTTTTATGGGATTTTAAACACTGCTGTGTTTGCAAAATAGGCCGGAGAACAGCAAATCATTGGGACAGCAACTTTTGTACTTTTTGCTGTTGTTGCAAGTTTGGGGAAAACCTAGGACTTAAACATTGTTTCTGATAGCAGAATAACTATGCTTTAAATAAAGAAAAACTCATAGCAGACTGAGGTGTTGTAAAGATGAAGAGTATGCTTCGTGACTTACATTCGTAATAATTCTTCCAGATGTCAAGGGGTCATTCTCTCTTGAAGAAACTATACACACAATCTGCTTTTAAATGTTCTTTGTCTTCAATAAGAGATGACTTGGCACAATAAATTCATAAATATGGCATCTTTAAATGCTCTAGGGCTGACAAAATTTAACACAAAAACATTTTGTATCCATTTTAGAAATACTTGCTTGACTCTTCTCTTAAACCTATAAAACAAGTTGTACAAACTTTTCTAAAAATAGTTCTCAGGGCTCACATATATTTTACTCTTTCTCAGTGTTGCTTTTTCTTTTTTTCCCTTCTCTCCTCTGCGCAGATGATTTTCCTAAGCCACAGATCACTGTCCAGCCAGAAACACAGTCAGCAATTAAAGGCTCCAATTTGAGTTTTGTATGTTCAGCAGCCAGCAGCAGTGATTCCCCAATGACCTTTGCATGGAAGAAAGACAATGAATTACTGCATGATGCTGAAATGGAGAATTATGCACACCTCCGGGCGCAAGGCGGTGAAGTGATGGAGTATACCACCATCCTTCGACTGCGCAATGTTGAATTCAGCAGTGAAGGGAAATACCAATGCGTAATTTCAAATCACTTTGGTTCATCCTACTCTATTAAAGCCAAACTTACAGTAAACAGTAAGTATGTTACCTGTTGCTTGTAGATAATAGAGTCATTTTAATCAAGATACATAAATGTATTTATTTGCATTCTCATCATCTGCATCTTTGAGGAAAGAATGAAAAAAAGCCTTTGAAGAAGAAAATCTCCGTTAATAAGCTGATTTATTTTTGCTTAAAATGTTTCTGGTTTCAAGATCACCATTCACTTTTACCTTTTAAGCCATTGTGATGAACCACAGTATAGGGGAAAAAAAAAACAAGCTCAATGTTAGTAAATGTGATAAACTCTGTGTAACACAATGGTAAAATATTAGTCTTTTCTACTCCATATACTCCATTTCAAAGTATTAATGGCAAAATTCTGAAGGAAGGTGTTAGCAGAAATGAGATTTTGATCTTGGTAGTCTCACAAACTACACAACTCTGCCTTTCTTTTTTGCTGGCTGCTGCTAAATTCAGGTTATGGGGCTTCGAGCATTTTTAGATCCAAGAAGAGTGTTAAAATAATGAGTATGTTGTGCCAAAAAGTACAAGGGCTGTTCCGAAAGTTATGACTCCCATTTTATTATGTTGGCCCACAACATCAGAGGTGAATGTTGGTGGTAAGGCAGTAGAGGTTGAATCTTGCTGCCAGTATTCCATTACATCTTGTTGCCATGCAACAGATCACAGCAGAGAGGCAGTCTGACAAAATTACGTCTGACATGGAACTGCATATGAAGCAAAGATATGGAGTTGAATCCATGTAGATTCAAAAATGCATCCACTGGCATTCATTTACACTGAATGTTCACGGAGACCAAACAGTGAATGTTAGCATAGTGAGGTGGTGTGTTTCAGCACTGACAACAGCAATGTAAAAGAGAAGCCATCTTCTGCTCAGGCATGCACAGCTGTCACTCTACGAAATGAAGAATATCTCAATCAGCTCATCCATGTGAAACAATGGATTATAATAAGGAAACTGTATACAGAGCTGAGTATCAGCTTCAGTGAGTAGGAAACAATGGTGACAATGTTGGAGTATTAGAAAATTTGCAACAGATAGGTCCTACAAATACTTGCACAAGGACAGAAAGAATACTATATGCAAGTTTCTGAGTACCTGTTGGACCAGTACAAGGCTGAAGGTGACGGTTTCCTGGATCTCTTCATTACTGGTAATGAGATGTGGTGTCACCACTACGAACCAGATTCGAAACAGCAATCCCTGGACTGGTGATCTGTGCAGTCCCCATCAAGAAGAAGTTCAAATGCAGCCCTCAATAGGTAAAGTGATGGGCATAGTCATTTGTGATTGGAAAGGGGTGATCCTTCTGGATTTCTGGAATCCCAGACAAACCACCAAGTCGGACTGCTGCATTGTGATGTTGACTAATCTAAAGGCTTGAACTTCTAGAGTCAAGCCAGAGAAGAAGACAGCCTTTCTCTTGCAACATGATAATGCTGAGCCTCATGCCAGTTTGAAGACTATGGAGCATATTGCCAGTCTCTGCTGGAGTATCCAATCCACCCAGTATACAATCCAGATTTGGTGCCTTCTGAATGCTGTCTGTGTGGGACAATAAAGATGGACAGCGTGGGTAACATCTTTCTAGCTATGGTGCTGTCATAGCAAGTATGAAACAATGGGTCACCTCTGCTGGTGCAGTTTTTTTATGAGCAAGGCATGCAGGCTCTTGTTCATTACTGACAAAAATGCATAGGTAATGGTGGAGACTGTTGAAAAGTAGTGTGTTGCATCTGAGAATTTACTCTCAATAGTGTTATTGTGCTGTAATTTCCATGGAAATAAATAGAAGTCATTACTTTTGGAGCAACCTACCTAAAAGTATGTTTCATTTATGATTAATTATTGTTTTGGTATCACTAACTTTTCTTTAGTGCTGCCTTCATTTACGAAGATTCCTATGGACTTAACCATTCGTGCTGGGGCAATGGCACGTTTGGAATGTGCTGCAGTTGGGCATCCTATCCCACAGATTGCTTGGCAGAAAGATGGTGGAACAGATTTTCCAGCAGCACGCAAGAGGCGTATGCATGTCATGCCTGAAGATGATGTATTCTTTATTGTTGATGTAAAAATTGAGGACACAGGTGTCTATAGCTGTACAGCTCAAAATACTGCAGGAAGCATTTCGGCTAATGCGACATTAACAGTTCTAGGTAAGGAACTGGCATTTCTTAAAAGTATAAATCTTCTTGAAGGACTGAACTATTGTTGAGTAGTTTTAAAATCACATACTGATAAAAAAAATTGCATTGTTTTCAAAGTGGTGTATAATAATTACTGTATTCTTAAATATTACACATTGAGATATAGTTACGAATTAGAAATATGTACACCAGCACACAATTACTATTAGGAGGCAAAATAATAAAAGGTAGTTACACTTGGGGCTTTCAGCAACCTAGTCTAGTGGGAGGTGTCCCTGCTTATAGCAGGGGGTAGGAACAGATCCTAAAAGTCCTTTCCAACTCTAGCCATTCAATGATTTGTTTCTCATGTATAGTTGAAACAATTTATAATATATATGAAAAGAATAAGTTTCCTATCTTTTAATTTCCTGGTGATTTGTTAGCCATTTTAATCTAATTCTTTATACTCTCAAGCATATATGATTTGGACTTTTTATCTTTGTAAGGAAAGTCAGCGTCTAAATCTGATCAACTGACAAACAAGCTGTAGACTCTTACTTCAAATTCTTTAAGGTGTTTTCTCCGAAAATGACAGTAAGCTTCATTAGGCCTTACTGGTGCATTTTCTTTAGCTTTTCCTCTTGAGCTGTGAAAGAAAGGAGCATGTCCCCATTTTTGCAAGGTTATATAGAATATAAAGCTTACGCTTTCTTTTCAGAAACACCATCATTTTTGCGGCCTTTGCTGGATCGAACTGTAACAAAAGGTGAAACTGCAGTCTTACAGTGCATTGCTGGTGGTAGCCCTCCACCCCGACTGAACTGGACCAAGGATGACAGCCCTCTCATGGTAACAGAAAGACATTTCTTTGCTGCAAGCAATCAGTTATTAATTATTGTGGATACAGATGTAGAAGATGCTGGGAAGTACACTTGTGAAATGTCTAATACACTTGGAACAGAACGAGGCAACATTCGTCTTAATGTAATTCCTACTCCCACCTGTGATTCTCCTCAAAACATTGCTCCAGCACTTGATGATGATGGATGGGCCACAGTTGGCATTGTCATCATAGCTGTGGTTTGCTGTGTGGTGGGCACTTCCTTGGTGTGGGTGGTCATCATCTACCACACTAGAAGGAGAAATGAAGATTGCAGCATCACAAATACAGGTATGTAAACTGAAGGTTTGCCTTGGAAAGAAAAAAATATATATGTTTGTGATTGCTTTCCAGTCACTTTCTTGTAGGAATATTTGTATGCTTTTTCTCAGTCTGAAGAGTGAGTTGTTTGTTACTTTCAGCACTCCTCTGAGAAATATAAAAATTCTTCTACAAATCCTGAAGTATGCTGATGGCTTTTGTACGTGTTTTGCTTCATCACAGATGAAACAAATTTGCCTGCTGACATTCCAAGTTACCTGTCATCCCAGGGCACGCTGGCTGAAAGGCAGGATGGATATGGTTCATCTGAAAATGGTAGTCATCATCAGTTCCTCACATCTTCTGTGGGAGGGTATTTCTTACAACAAAGAGACAGTAATGGTAAGTGCGAAATGTTAAGCAAATTTTCCATCTTGCTTGAGTAGCTACAGTTTGCGTGTTGCCTTTCTAACTTAAGGAAATAACACCAGTGAAACATCTTCAGTGAAGTTTCAGAGAGATTTATTGCATGCGATTGCATCAGCAAGCTAATAACAGAAACATGGTTCTGCTCATCCAAATGACACTACGGCTTTGCTTAAATGTTTTTCTCTATTCTCAAGGGTACATTCAAACTGATGATCACATTTCCAAAATAAGAGTGACCAGAAGGAGGTTGTAACAATGTGTTTTATTCTGTTGTAGTTTGGAAGGAATGGTTGTACTGGAATGTAGAGATGGATGTTAATACCAGCTTAGCTTTAGTGTAACACAAGTGATGAAATTTCCTGTCAGATAAATTGTTAGGGCCAGAGTTAATAAACAATTTAAGATAATTGGATGATGGAAGCTGCAGCGCTTCTAACACATCTGTTGCCTAAGAGTCCAAAACATACCTGAGTTAGCAAGGAAAATGCATCTTATTGGGAAAATGCTAGGGGTACAGACATAATCAGCAGTTGGGACAGGATTGAATGGAGCAATGATTTGAAAGTCTTTAGACAGTATGCCTGTTTGCAGAGCAAGAGCCATGGAGCATGTCCATAGCTTTCACAAGCCAGTGACCTGAAAGTCAGAAGAGCTATATGAACACTCACTGTCTCCCTCTGGCTTTTCCACCCAGGACTTTCTCATTACCACTCTCTTCTCTAGAAAGTGGCTGTATAACAGAGTATAAGCCTGGCTTCCTTGATTCTGATCCCTGTGTTTGGATTTGTTCTATTATCCAGTGACCATGTAATGAAGTAAAGCGTGACATGTTCTCTGTTAATTGATGAATTAATTAAACTCTTTTTACAGTTGGCCTTTTCATTAAAAATTTAACCTAAACTTAAACAAGATCTAAATATACTATGAAACTTTATTGAAAAGATGGGATTCTTAACAGAACAAAAATTAGGAAAGTATAAGCTTAATCTTAAGACCATGTGCTGATGTGTCAATTATATTTTTAAGGCATTTGCCACCTAGATAATGGCAGTGAAACAGACTTGGATGGTGTTGCAGATCCATTTCTATGCCACTACCTGGGTACTTCGGGGTCAGTGTATTTAAAAGGAAACACATACAGCTCTGAGACCTTTGAAGCATGCAGCCCAAGTAAGTTGAAAAATAAATTAGTCTTAAATAATTTTTGTGCTGTGATGAATGCATATAAAAGTAATTTCATTTTCTTTAGATTGCAGCCCTGACCAAAGAACAGCAAACCTGGATCCTTATGAGTCTGGATATTTAAAGAAAAAGGAATGCTGTCAGTACTCACTTCCACTGGAAGATCCCTTTGACCAGTGCATTGGCATTATTGGGATGCAGGCTACAAGCAGCAAGTTGATTAACTCCATTTATACTCAAAATGAAGGAACTGGACTAAAAAGCAGAAGTCTGAACTCAGACAAGCTTGATTTAAACAGAAGTTTGGAACCCTCGTCTATTATCAGTAGTAGCACTTTCATGGGTATGTTCTCACGTCTTTTTATTCTAGCTGTTGATGTCCTTGTTGTCTCTCACTTCCTAGTTGCAACTCCAAGCAAAGCTTTCTCAACTGTTTTATTTCTCCTCCTACAGTAAGTAATTCTGTAGTAGTGCTTTGATGCTTATGTAACTAGCACTGTGGAAAAAAATATTCTTGCTCATTTTGTGTGAGTTTCTTTCATCAGATGTCAGAGAATTGAACAAGATAATACATCATGTGAAATATAAGTACTTATTGAAAGGAGGAGAGACTGGAAGTATCTGAGGAAAGGCAGTTGGAGAATTGTTCTTACACTTTGCATATGTTATTATTTTCTTCCTCCTTTTCGAGTAACTTACAGTATGACAGAGTTTATTTTTAAGATACACAATATGCAGAGAGGTGCCCAGAATTGTACATGTAGACTGCCTCTCCATGACAGTGTATGAGGACAGTTGGATGCTCCTGAACTGTGTTGCCCTTTGGATGGGACCAGAAGTTAGGCAGGAAGCAGGCCTCACAGTCTCTTGTGTTACAAAGTGGGCATATTGGGGCTGGTTCAGAAGCAACACTGGCCTATGCCAAAGTAGTCCTCATGTTGAAGGTGATAGTCCAAAGAGTTGGTTCACCCTTGAGTGAACCTTAACTGGGAGCTGCCTTCTGCTTGTCAGGAATCCTGACTTCTCAGGAATATTTGATACAACGTTTTAAATGTTTGATGATCAGGAGCAGAAAAGTGATCACAATAAAACTGCACAATGGGCAGATTTCAGATTACTGGGAGATCTTAATAGCTTACTTGCACATCTCTTCAGTGGTTTGATTTTTATCTTTTATCTTAGTGTAGCTGGCAGATTTCCATAAATGCTAGAACTCTTATTAAATACATTTTCATAGACTTTAGACATACTAGAAGTTTTGCCTACCAGGCAAAAAGGTGTGCAGGAGGGCTCAGAGCAGGTGGCAAGACCAATGCTGGTGTATGAGGATATATTGTATGCTGTCAACCACAACTATTTGCTCTTCAAAGTAAAGCACTCTGGAAAAATGCCCTGTCTACCCCTCCCATCTTTCTTCTGGTGGTATGAATGACAGAGTAGTTCCTGAAGTTTAACTTAGTTTACAGTTTTAATCCAGGCTGCAGAAGGCGGTGGAGGAAGAAGAAAAAGGTTCCTTTAGCTTTGAAGCTCACTAATTTTTTGAACTGATTAGTTTGGTTTGTTTAAAATGCATGTAAACACATGTACTACTTTCATCCCTGTTATATCTGAATGCCAAGTGCAGCACTGATATCATGAACTCCTTCCCAGCTCATGTGTCAGCAGACTCAGCTCATGTGTCAGCAGACTTGTCCAGGGCCAGGATCTGCCCACTCAGGCAAGGGGAACCTGTGGGAATGTGCATCACTGAGCTCTTTGTTCTATGGGAGGAGGAGGGGGGGATAAAAGTTTTGAAGTTTTCCCCCTTCAAAAAACAGATGTTTAGAACTTAAAACTTTGCAGATGCCATATCTGGCAGACGTCCTGGGATTGCACACAGCCTACTGGCTGCCTGCCACTATTGCTGTGGCAATGGCTCTGCAGATGAGGCTTTCCCACATGTCTCCTGCAGAAAGTGGTTCTACTGTGTGAAGACATATGCAGGAGTTAATACAACCTTGGAGGCTCATATTGCCCTTTCTGCCCTAATAGCCTACGCAGAGCTGGTTGCTTGTCAGTTTCCTCAGCTACTACAGCACTCAAGTTGCATCATCACTGTCTTAGACAGTCTGTCTTTAGTACTCTACGCTCAGAGGAGCATGTGGTTAGATTTTGGAGATGGCTGCTCTTGACATATTTCTGATTTTTAGCATCACTGTCTTCAAATTTGGCCCCCTTTTTGCTCCTACAACCAGTGTGGAGAGGCAGTTGACTTTAACATTGCTGCTGATAACTGAGGCAGAAAGTTCACAGCTTGAATTTTCTTTTTTTAAGACAGGTTTAATTTGTAGCTTTGCTGCTGAGGCACATCTTTTCATGTTGTGTTAGAAACAAAATTACTCTACACATCATTGATGCAAATATGGATCTTGTCCAAATCAGTTCATACCAACATCTCTAATCACAGTTTTACTTGAAACCTTTGCTCTTAGCAAATATGCAAAACTGTAAGTATGGCAGTTGAGTGCAAAATTTGTTTACAGTTGTAGTGTAAAGTTAGTAATAAAAATTGAGTGCTTCAAAATTAGCCCATGGCACATTTTCTGCTCAGAAAATAATTCAAGTATCAAGAAAGATATACTTTTCATCAGCTGTTCCGGGGCATCAGAGAAGGCCCTTCTTGCAGAGGTGCTTGTACTAACACCTTTGCAATAGTGATGTGTGAAGGGCACAGTAAGTATTTTCTTGGTAGTGAATCCAGATTATTATTAATAAAGATTCAACTTAAATGTTGAATTCTCTTTGGGCTTTTGTCTGTTCTAGCCAGCTGTGAGTGGAAAGATGAACAGGTGTGAATGAGGGCAGAATTTGGCTGACAGAACCTTTGTTATTAATTAATGGGAAATATGAACCAGAAGAATGTTTTAGCATTCTAGGTTGCATGATGGAGGGTGTTATGTAACTGTATATGTTTCTTTTCACTTCTGTTGAATTACACATCACATTTCATCTGTCATTTGTTCAGAAGAGTCTGAGTCCTGTTCTTAAGTGATTTTTTGCATCAGAGCAGGCCTTGTGATTTGTTTATAGTTTGTTCTTTGTGCTCTTCCCTATAGAAAAATGGGCATGGATGTAGTTGTGAAAGTGAAGGTAATAAAGTTATGTCATGTGTGGCTTTCAAGTAATTTACCTTTTTTTGATGTCTCAGAATATTGCCTTATAGTAGTGATCACGTTTGCTTTGAAGGGGAAGAATAATAGTTGAGTAAAATCTCATGTTGCTGAACTTTTGCTTGTGTCAGTCCTTGGCTTCTGTTTTGACATGAAGCCCTCAATGTGACACAAAACTGTTTGCATCAGTGTTTCCATACTCACTCATTTACTATCTTTCAGGAACATTTGGAAAGCCTGTATGGAGGCCTCAGCTGGACTCCCTTTCAAGTCGTAGACAGCCAGCAAGATGTCAACCGAAAACCTTCCATAATAATCCTCATTCCTCATTGGACTTTGACCCAGAAGCAGATGAAGATGGAAGGGAAAGGACAGTTTCTAGAGGAGAAAACAGCATTTACAATTACAAACAGTCCTTTGAAAACTTCAGAACTTTTACTTTTCAATCCTGTGATTTGGATACATAGCTCCTTTTGGACCTGCCATTGATTTCTGGAACCAAAGAAATACTTTGACACGCTACTACCTCAGTGTGGAATTTTATTTAAAAAGGGGAATAAGGAAAGGAAGAAGGGAAGAAAGAAACCACATGATGCAATGAATTCAGAACAAATAAATGCATTTTTATTCAAATAAAACATAATTACCAAAATGCTCTAAATTTTTATACAGGGAAAGCATTCCTTATAAAAATACTATATTTCTAATTATTTTATAGCTTTGTTTTATGCAAATAATATCTTTTGTAAATTAATGGTGTAAATAATACAGCATATGTATTTCTATGTCAGACTTCATTTTATTGAAATGAGTAGTAAGCATTCTAATTTTATACTGTTACTTGTATCTTTTTTACAAATGGAAACTCCACGCTGTTTGCAGGTATCATGCATCTTATTTGCACATTACTTTTAATAAACTATGCTGCCATGTGGTCTCTGACCCACATTAAAGTATGAAGAATGAGAAGTGTGAATTCTGTTTGTAAATAGAGAAAAGGAGTGTTAAATTTGCAGGTTCCTTCTGTTAAATATTTGCACCTTCATTTGCCTGACATTCGTGTCTCTGGACTTAGCTGTGTTAAATGTGTTCTGCTTCCAAGGGTAGGTGCTTAGTTACTGTCTCTGGTAAGTTGGGTTGTGAAGCCGTTTATTCCAAAATAAATAAGCAGATCTGCCGCTTTCTGCATTCCAACTATAAGATGTGTTTGCACACATTCTATTTTCATGCACACAAGGCTGTAATGCTGTTTGCCTGGTGCGCCTGCATCTGATGGAGGATATATGCATAGTAGATTCTCAAATTCTTATTGAGCTACTTAGTAAAAGAAAACAATACTAAAAAAATAAAAAAAGGCAATGAAAATCTGCCTGGCACCAACCACTCTTTTCTAAGGGGTTTACTGTTAAATGTTTGCCAAATATGCAATGCATGCCTGAATCTTTGCTTTCCCATACCCTTTCTCCCTCTTTCTTGTTTCTGCAACCACTGCCACACCCAGCATAAGAAGGTAATCTAAGTACAAGATAATGTTTTCTTTGGTTTAACTCATGCTTCTGTTCCTTATTCAGCTGTCCTTTTCTGGTTATAATTGAAATCTGTGCCTTAGTAATTCAGCAATTGTAAATTCTTGCTGAATTAAATTTGAAGTAAGGAACACAATGCCTTTAACTGTACAAAGTCAGAGAAAGATGGTTGCTTACTATGAGATGGTAATTAAAGCAAAGTGAAAACACTTATTTTTCTATGTACTGATACCTACTATTTTAAAAAGCTGTGAACCCTTTTGTCATCACTGTATTAAAAAACAGTGGGACTCCAAAATGGTTAATATTCCAGGACGCTGGCTTTTTCAGTCTGTCTCCTTTGAAGGTGCAAACGTACATGCTTGCCAAATCACTTCTTTTAAACTAAATTAAAAGCAGCTGTTAGAGGGGGCCATCACAGACATAGCTAAAGCTAGAGCAAAGGTTTCACTGCCTGGTGCAGCTGAGCTAGAGACTTTTTCTTGTTTGTAGTCTGAAACCTGGTACCCAGATTGCAGTGTAATTTTCCTTTAATTTTGGCGCCAGTATTAGAGACAGGAAGTTAATCCATCCTTAGTCACTGGTGGTCTAAGTGTAGAGAAAGGATTTTGTGTGTTTTAGTTCATCATGTTGCCAGATTTTCTGACTCTTGTTGTTAATTTGTCTCTATTGCTGCCAGATGTGCTGATGTGGTGACAGACATTGATATGAGTATTTGATTATAACTGAGTGCGTATTGAAAGAGATGAATTCTTCCCAAGTTAAGCACAAAGCTATAAATCAATGAGGTAAGAAATCTTAAATTCGATTAAATTAATAATTCAAGATAATTTATCTTCGTTTTTCCTCCTGCTCAGATCCCAGCTTTTTTTTTTTTTTTTTTTTTTAAGGGGGAGGACTGGCATGATTGCTTTTTTGAAATATTAAAAAATAATAATAAAATAAAAACAGTAAGAACATCCATCCTTCCAGAATTAATGTTGCTAACTGGGACAGTGTCACTTATTTGCATCTCTTTCATCTTCTCTTTTAAATACTTTCCTTTTAGACCTTCTGTTGGAGAGTAAATATCCTAATCTTTGAAGCGTGTGTATCCCTCTACCTAAATAAAGCTTTCAGGGTCAACACTGGAATTTTAGACCATTCCCATGAAATTTCTTTGAGCAGACTAAAGATGCAAATGGCTGTGACTTTATTTGATGCCTTAATTATACAGAGATGGAAATGAATGCTGATGATGAGCATCTCTTTTTCCTAGTTTGAGCTTTCATGTTTAAGAGGTTTATTGAGCTGAAATACAGTGGCAATTGTAAGCTGCAAGATACTTGCAATGTCTGAATAGTTCTCTTATAGATTCTTGGTGTAACCAAACATCTGTTTTAAAACCATGCAAGTGTATTACCTTCGTTCTCTTTCCTCTGAAGCTCCAGGGATTAGGTAGCTGGTAGCTTGATATTTACACAGCTGAACGCTGAATCCTGAGTTGATGTGATGAGAAAATAAATTGTGGCCAACACTGAATAAAGCTTATACTGAAGCTCAGAATACTCTTAGAATGAGAAACAAGTATTGCTGAATGACAGAACAGACATTGTGCAGTCTTATGACTAGCAGCAACTGGAATTTCATCATGGGCTCATATAGAACTTGTGAAATGTTCTTTAGAGGCAATATGCTCCTAATGCATTACACAAATGTTCTACCCACTAAACTCTTACAAACAATTGATAAGGTAGAAGTTTCTGCAAGCACTGAATAATTATTTTAAACAGATAAACTGAATGAACTCTTTACCAAAATCTTTCTGGAGCAAACTTTCCCTAAATGAATAAGTTAAAGAGTGAGTCTGAAGCAACACAAGGAATACTTGCAAAGCATCTGAAATGAAAGTTGGATGTTGCAATTTAGAATGTATAAAACCATAAGAAGAATTCTACCTCAATAATTTTTCCAGAATTCATTTCAGGACTCAATGCTCTAGCTTTTTCGTTTCTTTTTTATTATTATTTTCTTTATGTACATTTCTTGTACATATGGTTTAAATCAGATGAGGAGCTTTCCATATATCTTCCTGTATTATATTTAGAAGTGTTACAGAATAAAGGCTTTAGTATTTTAGATGACATATGCATGGCTGAAAGTGCTTATCATGGTTCTTGGCCCTGGCGAATAGGATTCATTTGTTCCACTAGAACAATATACAGCTGTATCCTATCTTACTGGGGCACCTCTCCTGTTCCCCAGGCTGCCTTTTCCACTGCAGTTCAATACCCCTCCTGTGTCCTTTAGGGACATCCTGTTTCCATTTTCTTGTCTTGCCCTGTTGCAGCAGTTGCAAGCTAGGACAAATGCATTCAGTTTGCGGAGCACAGTGTAGTTCAAAGCAAGAAGTCAGCAGTGCTGGGGAAAGGAGGGGAAGCATGGGAATACAGAATAGCCACAGCTTTAGAAAGATTTTTTTCTGAATATGGAGTAAATGCATAACTGAGGAGAGAGTTTAAGATATTTATAATAGAATGCATGCATTTCCTTACTGTTTACAATACTTTCTGTGTATTTAGTTCCACTCTAATGCTATGAAATGCCAGAAAGCAGCTATGTACTCAAGAGCATGTCATCTGGAGTGTTGTGTCTTACTGCCTCTAAAATCTCCTTTTCTGGCTGTTGAGAAACAAGACCCATTTGTTATTCTATGCGTTCATGTGTCCAGGATTAAATATTGCTGTGCAATGCATAGTTTCCCAGAGTCACGTGGTCAGTGGGGTCCACTGACTGATGATCAGTGTGACTAAGGAATGTCATAGAACAACAGGACCTGAAAGCAAAGTTGGTAGTAGTTTAAGTTCTATGGTTGTAAAACAAATTTAGGCTTTGTGACTTGCATCCAGGATTTTATTTCCCACACAACAGAGAACTGAAGCATAAATTACTCTAGTTTATGGACTGCTGATAGTACTTCAGCATGATCAGTTTTCCTTAGACGTCAATACAGTCACTTCAAAGTGCTTTCGTGTTATATCCATGCCACTTGACTGTTGACTGAGAGCTATTCACCAACAAATGCAACGTGGGAGTTTCCAATCTGAACACCTGTATAAACTGACATGGATGGTGAATGTCTTTAAGCCCCAAAAATGTCAAATGTGATCACATTTTACTTGTGTGACCAAGGTAATGAGATTCCCCGAATATAAAACAGGCTTTGAGGTTATGGAGGCTGTGATGCCTTTACTCTGTAAGACTTGTATGTGGCACAGTCTAAAGAGCCCCTTGTTTGCCATAGCAGTGTATAATCTGTCTTAATTACTGTCAGCGCTTCTTTTGTAGATGTGCACGAAGCTGTGATTTATGATCTGGGTCTACTGCTGGATAATCAAAATTCAGGTATTGATTTGAAATATAGAATAGAAAAAGAAAATGATTTCATTTGGAAGGGACCCACAAAAATTATTGAGTCTACCTGAACGCATTCTCGAGCAGTGAGGCATCAGCTCCATTTGAGGCAAAATGATGCAAAAATGTAATTTCCTATCTAGTTGCTGTGCAAAAACATGGTTCATATCTAGTTAAAGAAGCTACCTTTGTCATTAATCCTAGTGTTCAGTCTGCTTATTTTTGAAATCTACTGAAAATGACTAATGGTGGAATGGGTATTGGTGTTGATATTTTGTACGTGACTGCCTTCTGTTTTGTGTTGCTATAACATGGAGAACTTGGAGTTCCACCTTGCATTCATCAGCGATGGTGGGATTTCATGCTGATTTCTTCAGAAGTGCTCACTTGTGACAGTACTATCTAATTCTGCCATCTGGTGTGCCGCACTTCTCTAAATCAGAGCTAGAGACACTGTAAAGTGAACGTAAGTAAGGGAGGATGGCTAAAATCCCTGCCATATCATAAAGTAGTTTTGAATAATCCATTTATCCCAACAGAATAATTTATGCAGTTTTTAGCATTGACTCCCTTATAACAAATTTCAGTAAGTTTCTTGAATGGGCCAAGCCTAGTGTTTTCTACAGGACACAGAATGTGTTTGAGATGGAGATACTTGGTGAGAAGTTTCTGTAGTGCTCAATTCACATATGGCAGAATTGCTGCTGACAGAGCCCTTCAGGTGGCAAGAAGAACTGCATCTGAAAGACGTGCACGTATTTTTCCCAGACAGATGAGAAGTTTTTGAAACTGCTTTTCAGTCTCATTTTGTTTGTTTGTTCGTTTGTTTTCACTTTGAGAAATAACTAAAAAGACTTGATCCTCCATTTGGCATTGGGAATTTCCCCTCTGCTTGTGATCTATCTCACTGCAAGCAGAAAGATACTGTGGACCACTGCAACGCATCTCCAAATAAGGCTTTTGCACAATAGCTTTCTATGGCTGGAGGTCGCTGGTGCAGCTAGGAAGAAGCTGTTGCTTAAATAAGTGATAGAAGACATATAAGCAAGGCAGCTCTTAGAAGGGAAGCTAGTTACTCTGCTGGCTTAGCTCACTGTACTTGTGCTGCTACCTGCTGTGGGTCTATACGCCTGCAGTATTAACAAAGCATCAGTGCTACAGCAGCCAACTGCCCAAGGCCTGGCTTTTGCCACACACTGATCGTATTTTTTATTAGCGTAAACTTCTTGCAGTTATTAACCTTCCCTCAAGAAAGGGGAAACATGGCCCTCATGGTAATTAGCTCACACAGCCTTTCGTGTGAGCTGAAGAATGGAAAGTGTCAAGGGTGCTTGCAGCGGCTTCGCAGGTATTTGCTGTAAGCAGGGAAAAGTTAATCTGCTGGCAGTTTGGCACGAGGACAAAACCTATGTGTAAAACAGCACTTAGGATGAATTAAATTCCACACAACTGCGACCACACAGTGGGTATAACAGTAAAATGATGGCAATGATGGAAAATATGACTAATCAGAAAATTGTATTTAAGCACGATTTTATTCATTAAGTTAGCATAAACTGAGGTTCTGACATGCCTCATTTTAGAAGAGTGTTTGTTTATTGCTCTGTGGCTTACAGTGACTGTGCTCCTTTCACCTACCAGCACACTCCAGCAATTTCATCTGAAATAACATTTTCACTCAAAACTTTTTTTTCTTTTTTTTGATGAAATCATGAAGGGAAGTTCCATGATGCAGAGCCACTGAACTATTTTAACGTAAAGTTTTCCAATCAGAACATGCAAAAATTCCAAGAAATGTAAAGGGGATTTCAGTTTTCACTTTAAGTTTACTTGTTGTTACAAAATCGTTTTCATTTTTATTTTTTAATTTTCAAGAAGCTTTTCCATACAGGGAACGCGGAGCCCTGCAGGTTATCGGGGCAGCATAGTGCAGGCTTGGGGCTCCTGTTGGCAGAGCCATCACTTGTTTCCTTCCTACCACAGAATCCGTTTGATCTGACTTCGATGGGTCCCTGCGGATTGATTCTCTTTGCTGCCAGAATGTGTTTCTCCTCTTATTTCCTCCCAGCAGTTCTGACTCAACAAGTTTCTGCAGTCGTAGAGAGTGAGGCTCAATATTTTCCTGTATGATTAGAAATTTTCCAGTCTCTGTACTCCTGGAGAATTGCAGAAAGCTGATCCCTGTACCTTCTGCATTAACCTGATGTGGCTCTGTTTCTGAAGCAGCATGGAGTTGTCTCTCTGGAAGACCCATATAGCCACTCTTTAGGGTTGCTGCCCCTGCTTGTGGGCATGCCTTGCTGCAGCAGCACCCAGATTCAGGGTAGTTGTGAACACTGCCTGCGTGAGACTCCCATCAAAGTGAGGCACCAAAAGGCCACAGGACACAGGCCT